CTCTCTCTCTCTCTCTCTCTCTCTCTCTCTCTCTCTCTCTCTCTCTCTCTCTCTCTCCCTCCCTCTCTCTCTCTTCGTGGCATTGTGATACTCGTAGACTAAACACAATGATTTCCCATTGTCCTGTATGATCGATCAATTTCTCGCGGAGCTATAAGACAGCTTACAAAGTATCACTTATTCAGGAAACTTGCAAAGTCTGTCGGTACGAGGAAACGCGGCTTTACATTATTCCAAATTATATACAATTTTGCGACATGTCGTCTGAGTTTCAACTAAAATACTAAAGAAGTTCGACTGTCTACGCTCGAATTGCGTACACCATTTTGCGGTATGTCGTTCGAGTTTTTCAGCTGAAACAATAAAAAAGGTCGATTCGAGGGAATGCTTAAACTAAATATCCACGAAGAAAACAAAATTCGTTTGAATTATTTTTAATAACACGTTATAATTTCTTAAACAAACATATCATTCGTCTAAACGTTTCGTCAATCGAATTATCTGTAATCTAGTTAATTTTCAATGGTGATCGCCGATGGATCGCCGGGAAAACAACACGTGACGGAAAAGGTCAATCAGGCAGGTTCGTTGATTCGACTTAACGCGGTCGAATTTGAGAATGCTGGTCTTTTGCCCTCGCCTCGTCAAAGACTTAAGCGCGAACGTCGATAAATGATGCGTGACGCGGTTTCGATATTACGTTCCGAGATTTAATTGCTTCGTTACAGAAGTGATACGTGATACGTGGCTCCCGCGCGGATGTATACTGTAAACTGAAATACGAATTCCCTTTTGTTCATTACCTCCGGCAGCGTAACATATATTGCAGCCTCCGTAAGCAAACAATTACGACCGTTGACGAATCGCAACAATCGTGCGATACAAAGTCCGATCTGTAATCCCAAAGTCATTACGGCGGTAATACGATCGGAAGTATCAAATTAACGTACCGCAAATACCGAGTATAGTTAATGCGAGATTTTTTTCTCTTCTTTCTTTCCTTTATCCTTTTTTTCCCCCTTTTTACCTCGGATGCAAAACGACAAAATTAGTCAATTTTCAGTTATTATCGTACCCAGTGATTTCGTATCGCGATGTTGACGGTAATCCTTACAATTTTGCGGTAATTTGATAATCGCCGCGTGCATTGTGTTCTTTACTGGTTACGACATCTACGTGCACCTTCTTCCGCATTATTAGCGGATATGTTTCGTTTAAGTATTAATAATACGTAAAAGGAAAAAACATCAATGCAGTAAATATTTATGTACGTGTTTGAAAAAGTGTTTCAGTAACTCAATTTAATAAATTCGCATACAAAGGTAGACAGATAAACTGTTGAAAAATAGAATGCTTTTCTTAAATCTTTAAATCTTAAAATTTTTAAATCTATAATTAACTCTGCTAATAAATATGTCGGAATTGAAAACATTGTAGTCATGCATTGAATCGAATAAGCGCCCGTCTCCGGCTTAAGTTTAATGGAGTGCCGTTAATTACGTATATTAAGAACTTCCCGTTATTCAGCTTAAAATACATATTTAAAGTTCCACGAAAACGTAAAGACAGAGTCTAGTATCATTTCTATCAAACTGAAAACTATTTTATATTTTAAAGAGAAACTATTTTATAATTTTTAAAAAGTTATATACACTAAAAAAAAACCGCTGTCCAGCTATAATTCTAAATGTTACAGTTAACAGTTATATATTGTTGTTTTGTATCTGCTGGAAAATTGTCTATCGTAGAATTTATAACAGCAAGATCTAACAATACATGCAAAAAATATAGATGTCATAATCAAATCACATGTCATTTTTATAAGAAGTGTAAGTGACAATATTTAATTGGGCTGGGAGATTTTCTTGCTAAATTTGACAGATTGTTCAGACATGAATTCTGTCATCTATATTGATTAGATACAAAACATGCGATATCGCAGTGCTTGCTTTTTTTATTTATCTATTTTTTTTGTATCTAGATAATTTTCGCTATGACTTCGCAAGAAGTCTTTTTTTCAGTGTAAAATATTGCGCTGTTTTTATCAAATTAATTTATGCGCATCAGATTGAAGATACTCCATTAGAATAACTATCCGCGTCTCCCGTCTCGACAGTGTTATCGATGTGTAAAGGGGGCGCACCGAGGGGAGGTAAGGAAAATTTCTTCCTCGGCTTTTCCGACGCCAAGCTCAATGAAAATCGAAAGGTTCCACACGTTAAACCGAGCGTGCACGCTGCGGATGCGCAGGATACGCGCAAGGTCGCGGACACACGTAATCTCGCGCTGCACGCTTCCGTTAAAAGACGAAAATTAGCTGGGGGTTTAACCGGCGACTTAACGACGAAGAGCCTCAATCAGTAAACGAAGGATATAGCATTAACCCTCCGTCAAGCACGCCCACATCCCGTCGTCGCGGCATTATAAAAAGCGCGATCGGCGCGGATGATACATTTCGCAGTGGAAACGTGACATATCGAGGTGGACAGACGAACGGAGCGAGCAAACATACGACGATGCACGTGCCGGTGATCCTCGGTGTAGTGTTGCTTCAGGCGATTTACGTGTCCGCCGGGGTAAGCCCTTCAGCTTACTTTCGTTTAAACGCAAGATGCAGACGCAGTCGGCAGTGACTTTAAACGACCACCTCTATCTAAATCGCATTTGTGTACGCGCGCGAAAACTCGTCGTCGCGGATCGTCCGCGGTGCTAAAGTCCGAGACGCGAGAAATAAATTCCCGCGCTGCCTGCGACGCGCTCGTAATAAATTCTCATTTTGCGTAGCCACCTGACTGGGTACCCCCGGAAATGTTGGAGATGGTTCAAGCTGACAAGGAGCGGTGCATGGCCGAACACGGAACGTCTCAAGGTGAGTGCCGACGATTAAACGGCGCCGGATCGACATACCCCGATCAACAATTCCCGCGTTCAACGAATCGCGATCCCCTTATTAATTAGAGCCCCGAAATAGAATGTCTTCTATCTCGAGGAAAAAAACACCTCACGCTGTTCCAAGTTCTTTCTATTTATACTAAAAAAAAAAAAAAGTTTACGAATTTCTTCGAATTTATAACGGGCATATTTTAATTTCGCGACGCAGCGCTCATCGACGAGGTTAACGATGGGAAACTCACGAATGACCGGAGTATAACGTGTTACATGAATTGCCTCCTCGACGCCTTCAGCTTGGTAATATTTTTATAAACATTTTTATATTTTCTCTTATGATATATATCTTTGTGTATATATATATATATTTTTTTTTTTCGCTTCTCGTTCGTTTCGCGCCAATTTTTCCTTATCTGATCTGACACGATGTTTTTCACTGATTAGGTCGACGAAGAAGGTAATCTGGAAGCTGAAATGCTGATAAGCGTTATCCCGGCGGAATTTCAGGAGATTGGTAACAAGATTCTGAATAAATGCGCTAAACAAGGTATGTGTTCGCAAAATGCACCTTCCACGAATGTTCTGCATTGTTGCTACGTTGATATTTTTTTCATGAACTTCCCGCTCTGATTCGATCGATCGTTTCAGACGGCGCGGATGCATGCGAGAAGATATACGAAGTGGCGAAGTGCGTCCAGGCGACAGTACCAGAGGTAAAGTCGACTCGTTATTTTAAGTAAATGACTCTTAACGAGATCGTCGCTAGGAGTTTCGTTCTTCAACTCGATGAGATTATCGTCATTGTTATGTAAAGGAGTATTATAATTTTCTGTACGGTTAAATTAAGATCGATCGGTAAAATCTCCTCCAAACTGTTTTTTTCCATTAATTCAAATGTGTTGTTGCAGCTGTGGTTTATGGTTTAATCCGACGCAAAAGGAAAAGAATTTGCTCCACGTGCGACGTCATGTTCTCCAACAAAATCCGCGCGTACAACATTGCGATGTGGCGATACAACTCGCTAATGGAGGAAGATGAGGAACAAAGAAGTAGAATTAGAGATATGAATTATGTAAATTTTTAAAATGTGAATTTGTGTAATAATAATAATAATAGTAGATAATTATAAGTACGCCATGCGGTCTAACATGAATAAAATTTGTAGAAAATGTTGATGTTGATGAAATTAAAATATTGGCTAAACTATTATATAAATATACATTGAACTATCCGGACACGATAGCGAATCGAAAGGAAGATATTAAAATGAGGTATCGATGCATAATCACGAGCTACTTATAAGTCGATGTTTAATTAAACAATTTTTTATAATTTTATTTCGCCTTTGATTACAATACCATTAAACTTTCTCGAATCGCAGAACCGTTTCGCAGAATCGCGTGTAGAGTGAATTGAGGTGTGTCAATTAATTAAAAAGAATTCGTTATAAGGCGTAATTAACGTAGTAAAAGTTAATTAAGATGGTAGCGTCAAGAAAAAAGATTTATTAGAGAAAAATCGTGAAGTAAAACACTGAAGAAAACTTATAAAATATCTATTGTAAGACCTCGGTTGAAATTGAAAGGTTCAGCATAAGAATGAGGTAAGTCCATAATTTGTAAGTATTTTAGAGATGATTTTGTACTCATAAAGTCGACTTTACAAATTGTGAGCTTACTCTTATGTCTCGTATCGAATCCTTCAATTACGTACGAAGTAAAATTTTCCTAGCTCGTTCAATAGTGTCATAATTTTGGTAATCATGTTTTTTTTTACACACACACACACACACACACACACACACACACACACACACACACATCTTATGCTACCGTTGCACATTTGTATGTATTACATGAACATGTACGTGCGCGTACATTTACCTACCTATCGAATAAATACGCGTGACGTCTGTGATGAAAACTTTCTATTCTCGTGTAAGTGTACAAATGATTAAATTATGATTTAAAACGACGCCCTCGACGATATATGAAAATTTTATCAATTTGCTCAATACTGATTAATATGAAGCAAAATTTATAAAACTTACATAATCAATCCTCATTCTCTTCTTTTTTAAAAATCAAAATATTTCATATATATGTTATCTTTCTTTATGTATAAAAGCTATTATGCAGCTGTATGCAGTAACTATTTTAAAACAAAACAAATTTTTCTCTTATTTAAAAAAGAAAAAGAACAATGAGTGATTTCACACGAACAAGATACTAGAAAAACAAATTCTGATAAAAGACTGAAAATATTACCATTAATTAACTTTTATCTTCTCGTATACGTTTCAACAGGAAAAACACTTTTATAAAAAGTATTTGATTTATACAAGTATTTATATAAGTTATACTTTTTTTTTTCTTAAACAAAGAAAAAGGTATTAAAAGAATTAAATAATTGAGTATAAACGATTTGAATAAAAAAAAAAAAAAAA